CTTTGCCACTCCGCGCGGTGTCCGTGGGCGTCAGGTCGCGCCGAGGGCGGCGAGACGGGGGTCGGGCGGCGCCGGGGAGTCGTCGCCGGGCGCGTGGTGCCGGGGCCCAGCGGCTGGTCCGCCCCCAGGGCCCTCGCCCTCTTTCTGGTCGCCCAGCGGTGGGTTTGTCCCGGTCAGGTGGAGGTAACCGCTCCTCGTGGGGCCAACCCAGCAGAGGCCACGCTGGACCAGTGCCAGGTTGCGGTTTCTCCTGCGCGAGCCTGTTGGGGGCTCGTCCCTCGGGTCGGCTGTGTTCTCACCAGTCTTAGGACTGGCGCGTAGGATGATAACCCTTTGCACTTGGATGCCCTCTCTTGGAGGACATAACGAGATTGCCGGTGATCATCCAGCACAGACTTGTGCAAGTTTTTCTTTTTTGGGTTGGAGTCTCACTCTGTCGCCCGGACCGGAGTGCAGTGGCCTCCCGGCCACCGCAGCCGCGTCCTGCTGGGCTCAGGCGATCCTTCCGCCTCAGCCTTCCAAGTAGCTGGAAATGCAGGCGCGCGCTACCCCGCCCGGCTAATGTTTTGATTTATTGTAGAGATGAGGTCTCACCAAGTTGCCCAGGCGGGTCTCTTTGTGCAAGTTTTTCAAACACGTGTGTTGCCTTGAGGTTTTCCATTCGAGTCCCATTTGAAATTTGTCAAGCTTCAATCAGTTGAGACGTGGTTTTCAGGAATCACGAGTCTTCCACTTCGTCTTCCAACAACAGACTGAGCGATACGTGTTAGCTGTTATACAATATTTTTAATGTGCCAGGCTCGGTGGCTCAGCCTGTAATCCTGTGCCTTTGGGAGGCTGAGGTGAGTGGATTGCTGCGGGTTCAAGACCCACCTGGGCAACTTGGTGAGACCTCATCTCTATAATAAATCAAAAATGAACCGGGCATGGAAGCGCGTGCCTGTAATTCCAGCTACTTGGAAGGCTGAGGCAGAAGGATCGCTGGAGCCCAGCAAATCGAGGCTGCGGTGGCCGGGAGCAGCCACTGCACTCCAGTCTGGGCAACAGAGAGATTCCAACTCAAAAAAAAATTTTTTTAATGTGTGCAACCTGTCACCTGAGGCTGGGTGTGGAATTTTCCGCTTGTGGAGTCATGTCAGCAATCAAAACTTTGGGGGTTTTGAAGCTTTTTGGGTTGGGGATGGTCAACCTACAAGAGTACCTCTGGTAACCACATTGAGGTGATGTTCTGAAATGTTCGTTTAAAGTTACATCTGGCCAAGTGCAGTGGTTCATGCCTATAATCCCAGCACTTTGTGAGGCCAAGGTAGGAGGATCACTTGAGGCCAAGAGTTTGAGACCAGCCTGGCCAACATAACAAGACCCATTTCTTTTTTCTTTTTTTTTAAGATGGAGTCTTACTCTATTGCCCAGGCTGAATGCCACGCTCACGGTCACTGCAGCCTCGACCTGCTGGGCTCAGGTGATCCTTCTGCTTCAGCTTTTCAAGTAGCTTGGAACTATAGGCGTGCTGCCATGCCCAACTGATTTTTTTATTTATTGTAGATATGAGGTCTTGCCAAGTTACCCAGGCTGGTCTTAAACCCTTGGACTCAGGCAGTCCTCTCACCTCCGTCTCCCAAAGTGCTGGGATTATAGATGTGAGCCACCACACCCGGCATTCATTTCTATTAAAAATCAATTAGCTAGCTACTTGAGAGGCTGAGGCAGGAGAATTGCTTGAGCCCAGAAGTGTGAGGGTGCACTGAGCTGTCATCATGCCACTGCATGCCAGCTGAGCCAGGTGTGGTGGCACATGTCTGTGGTTCCAGCTACTTGGGAGGCTCAGGCTGAAGGATCACCTGAGCCCAGCAGGTCAAGGCTGCAGTGGTCATGAGTGTGTTGCTGCACTCCAGCCTGGGCAACCATGAGACTCCAACTCAAAAAAAAAAAATATTTCTGGTGTTATAAGTAAACTTTTTTTCAAAGAAACTTCATTTCATTTAACTAATATAAATAGTTGCTTAAACAGATAAGAAAGAGCCGGGCTCGGTGGCTCAGCCTGTAATCCTGCGCCTTTGGGAGGCTGAGGTGAGTGGATTGCCTGAACCAGCGGGTTCGAGACCCGCCTGGGCAGCGAGACCTCATCTCTACAATAAATCAAAAAAATTAGCCAGGCGTGGTAGTGCACGCCTGTAGTTCCGGCTACTCGGAAGGCTTAGGCAGAAGGATCGCCGGAGCCCAGCAGGTCGAGGCTGCGGTGGCCGGGAGCGGCCATTGCACTCTAGTCTGGGCGACAGAGTGAGACTCCAACTGAAGAAAAAAAAAAAAACAGATAAGAAGGGCTAAAATTTACAATCTATTTGAAAAACTAACCAGCCTGCAAGCTGGGAACCAAGTCTTTCACCCCTCCCCCACCTGCCAGGCAGAATCATTTCACCTGGGAAAGGAGTCACAGGCAAGGTGAGCACCAGCAGTCTGTTTTCTAAGACAAGCCAACAGCTGTCGACTGCCTACAGTAGATTCCACAGCCAGTCATCTGCAGGGCTGCAGGCAGCATCTCCAGTGACACTGCCTGTGGGCAGCTCTGAGTCTCCCTCCTGGTTTATCTGTGGGCGTGGTCTTCGGGATGAGGCCACTTCGCCTCCCACTTCCAGAGGTGGAGAACATGGTCATAAAAGGAGCATGTGGCCAGGAGACCAGCATCCAAATTCGCCTCTTCCAGGGACAGGCTGCAGGCACAGGCCTGAGCTGCCGTGGCCTGCAGTCGGGCACCACTCTGCCCTGTGTCCTCTGTGAGTGGCTTGACTCTGCCTGGGAGTCGGGCACAGCCCTGCCCATCATCACGCACGACGCATTCCACAGAGGGTGCTAGCGGCTCGCCTTCAACCTTCTGGTCTGCCGTCTTGCCTCCCATGCCACTACGAAGGGACCATGAGGAGGCGAGCTGTGGAGGATGGAGCCAGGACCAGTCGGCTCCGTACACCAGCGAGTGGGGCAATGTGTGGGACCCCAAGACCATCGCCTCCTGCTTCTCTGGAGTAAGAGACAGGAAGCAGCATTACCCCGAGCGGGTCGTCCCAAGGGATGACCCACCCCCCTCACACTGAGACTCCACCAAGAGCAGCCCCTTGCGGGTCAGCCACTGAGTCATATGGAGGCACCAGGTGGAGAAGAAAACACTCGCCCTGTGGTGCAAGCTCAGAAGGCCTCAGAGACAGGAAATTGGCTGGGTTTACAGAGCCGCTTGGGAGGGGTGCTTATCCCCAGCGTTGAAATCAGCAGAAGCTTCTTGGAGGAAGATACATCCCGTCAAGACTTAAAAGCAAAGGACAAGAGGATTGAACTAGACAGGAGAGAAGGGACATACAAGGAAGAGGGCATGGGTACAGGATGGGTGAGAAAGGCCAAGGCAGGTATGCAGAATGGCAGCAGGCAGCAATGGCTGAGGCACCGTCATGCCCACAGGGCTCTGCACGTCCCACTGACTGGCTTTCAGCTGGGAAAGGAGTCAGACAAGGGTCAGCACCAGCAGTGTCGTCATGAATGGCTGTGGCAGACGAGAGAGGAGCGTAGGCCCAGAAAGGGGCAAGACATCATGACCGGAAAAGCACCCGTGAGGTGTGCCCACACTTGAGGGTCAAGTCCAGCAGGCAAGGCCAAGACTGGCCTGCAGGAAGCTAGTGGAAGACGACTGGACCTGGCCTGAGAGGGCCAGGTGGCCATTCTGATTTTCACCATGCTCTGAAAGGGCTATCACCCCCACCTCTCAAGTGCAGGGCCTAATGCTGGCAGTGATCTGAACCAAAACCAGAATGAGCACCGGTGAAGACAGGCTGAGGGCAGAACAGAATGGCGCTGGAATTACAAAGCACACCAAGGACGCATAGCCCAGCGCAGGAGGCCAGCTCCCTCCCCAGGGCTCCAGGGAGGAACAAGATGCTGAACTTGCTGAGACAGCCACAGAGGCCCTCAGCAGCATGCATGGGGTAGCCCTGGAGGGTGGAAGCCCCCAGGGGAGGCCATTGTGGTCCCCCTGGGCACTGGCACTGTCAGGCAGGAAAGGCCCACTCCAGGCTTTCATCCAGCAGTCACTTGACACACCCACTCCTGGCCAGGACCTTTTCCCCAGCTTCAGAAGGGGGCACAAGACAGTCTGTGCCCTCACAGCCTTCACGACTTGTGGGGAAGATGCCAGCCAATGGCGGAAGACACTGTCATGTGGTGAAGGTTGTGAGGAAACGGGAAGGCTCTCAGGAGTGGGTGCCGAGGCCAAGAGCTGAGGAGGGAAGACTTGAGGGAGCTGCTCTGCTCCAGCAGGTATATGGGCCCGAATGAGCCAGCACGACTGGCGTGGCCACGGAGGGGCGGGGGTGTGGCATGGCAAGGCCGCGGCCGGCAAAAGGCAGGGCAGACCCGCAAGCCTCAGAGTGGGCGCGTTCCGGGAGACGCGAGAGCCACTGGACACCCTGAATGGCACGTGGTTTTCAAGATGCCCCTGCCGAGCGACCGTGGGCCAAGAGCAAAGCAGAGATGTGCAGGTGAGAGCCCAGGGTAGCCAGGCTCTGTGAGGAGGTGACGGACATCAGACGGAAGACACCTGGAAGGGTATCCTGACTGGACCTGGGACAGGCCGATAGGGAGCTTGAGGGGAAGGGAGAACGGGGACCAGAGGAGACAAAGGCTGGACCCGTGGGTTCTGGGCTGAGAAAGCTGAAGGAAGAGGTGCCCTTCTAGAGCATTAGGAAGCGGAGCTGGGGCAGAACCGTTGTTTGAGGTGCTGCCACTGATATCCAAGCAGCTAAGTGTAGAGGCTATCAACTGCATCAACAGCACAAAGGACAAGCTGGGACCAGACGCCACCGCAGGACAGGACAAGACAGGGTGTGGCAAGATGGGCTGGCAATTCTTGAGGAGAAAGGATTCCAGGTAGCAGGGAGGAAGAGAACCCGATGGTAAACTAAACACCATTGTTTCTCTTCTCCTCTCCTTCCCATAAAGAACAGTAGAGAGAATTAAAACAGCATAGGCCCAGGACAGAAAATGACAACAGATGAGAAGGAAAGAGAACGTGGAGGGGGAAAGTAGTCACACACCTGAGAGCAACTGGGCAGAAAGAGAAGGGGCCTGCTGGGTTGGGGAAGGGAGCCAGGAGACAAGCCACCTGACCATGCTCGCTGCAGCTCTCCAGTAAGGACTGGCAGGCAGACGCGACAGGACCTCTGAGGGCAGCATGGGAATGGACGGGAGGATCACACACTTCCAGACTCCCCCAGCCTCTACCGACAGGGACCCCATATCCACTGCAGCCCAGAACTGGAGGTTAATCTCTGGAGAGGCTGAAAAGAGGTCCAGGCAGATGCAGGTGAGCCCAAGGGTGGAATGGCATGAGAAGCAGCGTAGGTCAGTACTGACTGGGAGAACGCCCCTGCTGGCTCCCAGGGTGCTGCCAGCTGGGCAGGAACAAAGGATGGTGACATGAAAGACAGCTGAGGAAGCTCCAACGAAAGTCCAGTCTGGGCCTGACTATTGCAGGATTCTCTTGCACAGAAATTCAGACAGTGCCAGGCGTGGTGGCTCATGCCTGTAATCCCAGCACTTTGGAAGGCAGAGGCAAGATGATTGCCTGTGTCCAGGGGTTTAAGACCAGCTTGGGCAACTTGGTGAAACCTCGTCTCTAAAATAAATCAAAAAATCAGACAGGTGTGGTTGCATGCACCTGTGGTCCAGCTACTTGGAAGGATGAGAAGGAAGGATCGCCTGAGCCCAGCAGGTCAAGGCTGCGGTGGCCGTGAACATGCCACTGCACTGCAGCGTGAGCAACAGAGTGTGACTCCAACTCAAAAAAAAAAAAATCAGGCCGGGCGCAGTGGCTCACGCCTATAATCCCAGCACTTTGGGAGGCTGAGGTGAGAGGATTGCCTGAGTCCACGGGTTTGAGACCAATCTGGGCAACTTGACAAGGCCTTGTCTCTACAATAAATCAAAAAATTATCTGGGCATGGTAGCGCGTGCCTGTAGTTCCAGCTGCTTAGAAGGCTGAGGCGGAAGGATCACTGGAGCCCAGTAGGTTGAGGCTGTGGTGGCCGAGAACATGCCACTGCCCTTCAGCTTGGGTGACAGAGTGAGACTCCAACTCAAAAAAAAAAAAAAAAGAAAAGAAAAACAGGACAGAAATGAGCAAAAACACAGAATGAAAGAAAGACTGAAAGGAGACAAGCCATTTTAAAAACATAAACTACAGGCACGCAAGGGAAAAAAGATTCAACCAAACATTAATGATGGACAGTGAAAAAATGGCAGGAAAACAGCTCAGAAAAATGTGATGAGAGATGTGAGAGGGCCAAGGAAAAGGACTGAAATTGTGCCAAGAGACAGAATTGGAGTTTCTGGAGAAAACAGATTTAATAGCCGGGCTCGGTGGCTCAGCCTGTAATCCCGCACCTTCGGGAGGCTGAGGCGAGTGGATTGCCTGAGCCCGCGGGTTCGAGACCCGCCTGGGCAGCAAGACCTCATCTCTACAATAAATCAAAAAATCAGCCGGGCGTGGTAGCGCGCACCTGTAATTCCGGCTACTCGGAAGGCTGAGGCGGAAGGATCGCCGGGGCCCAGCAGGTTGAGGCTGCAGTGGCCATGAGCGGCCATTGCACTCCAGTCTGGGTGACAGAGTGAGACTCCAACTCAAAAAAAAAAAGCATATTTTATGTTATATAAATTTTACCACAGGTTTTTTTTGATTCAGAGTCTCACTCTGTCACCCAGGCTGGAGTGCAGTGGCCGCTCATGGCCACTGCAGCCTCGACCTGCTAGGCTCAAGCGATCCTTTCGCCTTAGCCTTCTGAGTAGCTGGAACTACAAGTGCATGCTACCATGCCCAGCTTATTTTATGATTTATTGTAGAGATGAGGTCTCACCAAGTTGTCCAGGCTGTCTCGAACCCCTGGACTCAGGCAGTCCTCCCACCTCAGCCTCCCAAAGGGCTGGGATTACAGGCTTGAGCCACCACACACAGGCTTACTACAGTTTTTAAAGAAGCAGTTGAAAAGAAATCATCAGGTCCTCCAGACAGAAAGCAAATCACTTATAAGGCAAGGACAGCAGCAGCCAAGCAGGAAAATAGTACAGAAACACCTTCAAGAAACTCAAACAAAGGAAAAGCAGGTCAGAGACTGAATGGGCAAGTTCTTCAAATATCAAGGGTACGGAAAATAGTACTGAGCACATAGGAATGCAGAGCTCACTGTCCTCGAGAGGCTTCAGCCAGGGACTACAAGCATGAGGACTAACGGGAGCACTGAAAACACTCAACTGTGAGCCAAGAAGGAGGAAAACACAGGTAGGACAAAGATGGGAAGGTAACCTGCAAATGATGTGTTCTGTGTTCTGAGTAGAAAGAAGTGCTACTGAGAGTGGAAGGAAGTGGGAAGACTAAGTTCATCAGTGTCACATGGGGAACAGGTGGAAACCAAGAGGTCATGCATGAAACCTACAGACCTGCTGGCTGGAGGTTAAAAGAGGGAATCGGAGCATTACTTGAGATAGTAGCATAAGCTGGGCACAGTGGTTCATGCCTGTAATTCCAGCACTTTGGGAGGCCAAGGCAGAAAGTTCGCTTGAGCCCAGGAGTTCAAGGCCAGCCTGGATAGCAAAGTGAGACCTTGTCTCTACAAAAAAAATTTTTTTAGTTAGTCAGGCATGGTGGCACATGCCTGTAGTCCCAGCTACTTGGAAGGCTGAGGCAGAAGGATTGCCTGAGCCCAGCAGGTCGAGGCTGTGGTGAGCTATAATCATGCCATCACACTTCAGCTTGGGCGATGGAGTAAGACTCCAACTCAAGACAACAATAATAGCAACCCACTTTTAATACTGAACAGAAGGATCAGCAAGGAACTAGAAGATCTGAACAGCACTGTAAGGCAGCATGCCCTAACAGACATCTAAACACCCCACCCACAACAGCCAAACACATTCTTCCCAAGTGCACGGAACATTCTCAAGGACAGACTATATGCTAGGCCACAAAACAAGACTCAATAAACTTAAAAAGCAAACCACAATGGAATAAAATTAGAAATCAATTGCAGAAAGGAATCTGGGACATTTTAAAATGTGGAAACTAAAGAGCACACACATAAATAACCAATGGTCAAAGAAAAAAACATCACAAGGGAACTAAGAAAAGACCTTGAGATGAATGGAAATAAAGATACAACAAACCAAAACATGCAAGACGCAACAAAAGCAGCCCAGAAAGGAAAATGTGTCACTGCAGATGTCTACGTTAATACAGTAGATCAGTTTTGAGATGAGAGAGACTCGGCATGTTCCCATAGCAGCAGTTACGCAGATGAGGCAGAGAAACTGAAGACGCAGAAGAGAAGTCAAGTCCTGGGGCACAAGGTGGGCAGCGAAGGCGCCTGAGGGAGAGGGGCAGGGGAAGGCCAAGGCACGCACACTTCCAGGTGGTGTGCTCCAAGGTGGGGAGAGGCGGTGGTTTTGTGACTGCTGCTCTTTGGAGTGGCGGGCGGAGGAGAAGGAAACGCATGAGCTGAGAGTGAGGAGGCAGAAAGGGATGCTGGGGCTTGAGGAGAGAGGCGAAAACATGGAACAGTTCTGAGCATGGGGCTGGCACCTAGAGAAACGTCACGATCTCCAGGCGGCTCCAAGGCCCTCCTGGGGCACACTCGTGGAGTGACACCATCCCAGAGGCTGGCCCCACAAGCCAGGTCCAGGGCTCAGGCACAGCAGAGGCAGGGTTCCCCGCAACACCAGGCTCTGCCTGAGAGTGTGGGAAAGGGAGCAGGGGCACTGGGACAAACTGGGCAGGAAAAACATGGAGAAGGCTGGGCAAGGATGGTTATGAGTGACAAGTGGCAAAGCTTCGGGACTGGAGGGCCCCTGGGGCAGAGAATTGCTAAAAGACACGCAGAACCAGAGTAACTGAGCTGCTGGGGAAACCACAGTAGAGAGAAGCCGCAACCCTGGAGTTGTGCAGGTCCAGATCACAGCTGGGCCCGGGTGTGACCCTGGCCGGGCAAGGGACAGGGAACTGGGAGATCCACTCACCTGTCGTTTCTTGGCAGTTGAGGACCGTGAAGCCACCATGCATGCAGGCTGCCAGGAGCAGGTGGCAGTGGAAAGGGTGCCACCTAAGCCTCCACACCCCGCCCCGCACCAGTGTGTCCGCCAACGGCTGCTTCATGCACCGCGTGTCCCACAGCAGGACATGCTCGTCGTAGCTGGAACCAAGAGCCATAGTGGACACACAGGCAGACCATGCCCCCTTCTCTCCACAGCTCCAGGTGGTGAGAATGCCTCCCAGAGACCCACCCACTCACCCCGTGAGGGCAAAGTCCCCTTTCCCAAACCCAGACACCTACGCTCTGGTTTGAGAGCTGGCCAGGGTAAACACCAGGATGGCCACGAGAGAGGGGGAAGGGAAGGAGCCCTGTGAGCCGTTCAGGGACTCACCTTCCTGTGGCCAAGAGGTGCTCCTGATGGGGACTGCTCTGGATGCTGCACACACCCATGGAGTGTCTGTGAGCAGAAGGGCGATGCCTGAGCGGGGCTTGGTAGGGGCACATCCAGGGACCAGTCCAGGGAGGGCCACGGGAAGGGCCGAGTCAGGCCCGCTGGCCAGTTACCTCTTACTGGTGAACAGAGGCGTGTCAGGTACCCTGGTGTCCCAGCCTTTCAGAAGGCCGTCGTCTCCCCCTGGAACAGAGAAGCCTGTCAACAACGGCCATGGTGACAGGAAATGGCCACTTCTCACGAGGCCATGTGGTCTGTGAGGAAGTTTTCTTGGTCACTTTCCTGGGTGGCTTCAGGCTTCCACCTGAATAGGAGAGCCCCGGGAATGGTCACACTGCCCAACTACCTGCAGACTTGAGGGCCGGCCTGCGATAAAAATGGGAAAAATGGACAGGCTATGTCCGTAGGAATGAAAGTGGAAAACTGGAAGCTCTCATGGCCATTACCCAGGAGAATGACCAGGTCTCCTGTCTAGCCTGCCTTCTACAAGGCTCAATCAAGCCCCTAGCTTCCAAGAACCAGAGCTGCTACGCCCAAGATCCCCGAACAGAAAATGCCACGGGGAGCAGCAAACATGAGGACTGCTTAAGGTTCTGGAAACTGTAGCACACCCCCGAGTGATTTTAGGGAAGTACCCCTCGTAACCTTACAGTAAAAAACACACCTGCACTTGCTTTAGGGAAGCTAGAGGAATGGGAAGAACAAAGGGTTGGTGCACTGAACCACAACCAGTCTCTAAAGAAAAGCAACACTACGACTTAGGGTGGATAGCGGCATCCCGAAGGGAGGTGAAGGCAGAGCCCTCACGGAGGATGAAGAGGGCAAGAGGAAAATGCCTGGGCCTGACCACTCCACCCACCCATCCACTCATCCACCCACTTACCCACTATGCGCCCACCATCTGCCACTCATTCACCATCTGCTACCCATCCGTCATCTACCAATCTACCCACCCATCCACCCACCCACTCACCCACCCGTTCGTCCACCTGTCCAACCGCGACCCATCCACCCACCACCCATCCACCCACCATGCATCTACCCATTCGCCATCTTGCAGCCATCCAGCCAGCCACCAACCATCCACCCATCCACCCACCATCATCTGTCCTTCACCCATCCACCCTGCCATCATGTATCTTTTACCTATCCATCCTTCCATCCACCTATCCATCCTCATCCACCCACACATCTGCTCACCCACTCATCCATCTGTCCTCCTCCCATCCACTCACCACCTATTCATCTACCCACCTGATCTCCCTTCCTTCGTTCCACCTAATGGGTACTGACTGAACACACTACAGACTCCCATAACTGACACGATATGGGGTAAACATGACCTACAATCAAGTGGACCAGCAGAACCAGCTGGCTCAGGTAAATTTGCATAGAGCGGGCAAAAGCTTCTTTATGTATCTCACACCCACTCATCCACTCCATCAGATAACCTTACTGGATCTACCTTCAGGCATGTCCAAAATCCAACCACTTTTCCTCACCTCCACTGCCCCAGCTTGGTCTGCAGCATTCACACCACTCACCCGGATAACATGTCTCCAGACTCTGCCCTCCCTCTATTATGGGCTATACTCAGCAAATTAACCAAAAAGATCCTATTAAATGTTAAAGCATAAGTCAGGATATGTCAGTCCTCTGCTCAGCATCCTGCAAGAGCTCCCATTTCAACTTCAGTAGAAGCCAGAGGCTGTCCTGAAACCCACAAGGCCCTGTGCTCAGGCCTGCTACCTTAGCTCTCGCCCTCTCCTCCTCTGCCACCTCCTTGGGTCATCCCAGCCATGCCAACTACCGGCTTCCCTGCCATACCAGGCTCACCCCTGCCCGCCTGACCATGCTCTGTAACAGGACAGTCTGCTTCTGCTCCGTTTACCCTCTTCTACCTTTATTCTCTCCAAAGCATGTGTCACATTGTGTGGTCTCCTTACTTATTGTAGATTATGCCATTTTTTGGGTTTTTTTTTTTGAGTTGGAGTTTCACTCCATTGCCCAGGCTGGAGTGCAGTGGCATGCTCATGGCCACCACAGTGTCAACTTGCTGGGCTCTGGTGATCCTTCCACCTCAGCCTTCCAAGGAGCCAGAACTACAGGTGCTTGCTACCACGCTGGGCTAATTTTTTACTTTTTTGTTGTAGAGACAAGGTCTCACCAAGTTGCCCAGGCTCGTCTCAAACCCACGAACTCAGGCAATCCACTTGCCCCAGCCTCCCAAAGTGCTGGGATTATAGGCTAAACCACCAAGTCTGGCCTTTTTTTTTTTTTTAGGGTCATAGTCTTACTCCGTTGCCCAGGCTGGAGGGCAGTGGCACACTCATGGCCATCGCAGCCTCAACCTGCCAAGCTCAGGCAATCCTTCTGCCTCAGCCTTCCAAGTAGCCGAAACTACAGGTATGTGCCACCACGGCGAGCTAGTTTTTCTTGATTTATTATAGAGATGAGGTCTCGCCAAATTGCCCAGGCTGGTCTTGAACCCGTGGGCTCAGGCAATTCTCTCACCTCGGCCTCCCAAAGTGCTGGGATTATAGGCATGACCTACCGCGTCCAGCCTATGCCATTTTTTGTACAATCCCCAAGTCAGTGTAAGCTCCATGAAAGCAGGGACTTCTGTTTTCTTTGCTGATGTATCCCTATCACCTTGAAAGTGCTTGGCATGGCAGACTCGGTGGCTAAACCTGTAAACCCAGCACTCTGGGAGGCCGAGGTAAATGGACTGCCTGAGCCCGTGGGTTCAAGACCAGCCTGGGCAACTTGGCGAGACCTCGTCTCTACCATAAATAAAAAATTAGCCAGGCGTGGCAGCACACGCCTGTAGTTCCGGCCACTTGGAAGGCTGAGGTGGAAGGATCATTGGAGCCCAACAGGTTGACGCTGGGATAGACAAGTGTGCCACTGCCATGGCACTCCAGCCTGGGCGACGAAGTGAGGCTCCAACTCAAAAAAAAAAAAAAGAAATAAAGTACTTGGCACCTAACAAGTGCTCAGTGAATATTTGTTGAGTGAATGGATTAGGCCTGAATTATTAAATCACTGCCCCACCACAGCCCTGCTGTGAATTAGCTAAGCTTCAAGGCAGAACTAATCCAAGAATGAGGGACCTCAAAAAATAAAGTCCTTATGGTTCTCAGGGACTCTGCAAGGGTGTGGCAGCAAACAATACAGATGAGGACCCTGGTCACAGGGAAAGGCAAGCCTTAAACACGTCATCATCACTGGGTGAGCATGTGGTGCCACGAGACCAATGACAGAGGGTCAGACCTACTAGGCTGGCAAGGATGAGTGCTCGGGTTGTTTTCTAAAGAGAACATCTTAGCTGGGTTCAGTGGCTCAGCCTGTAATCCCACGCCTTTAGGAGGCCGAGGTGGGTGGATTGCCTGAGCCCGCGGGTTCGAGACCCGCCTGGGCAGTGAGAGCTCATCTCTACAATAAATCAAAAAATCAGCCAGGCATGGTAGTGCATGCCTGTAATTCCGGCTACTTGGAAGGCTGAGGCGGAAGGATCACCAGAGCCCAGCTGGTGGAGGCCGCGGTGGCTGGGAACAGCCACTGCACTCCAGTCTGGGCGACGGAGTGAGACTCCAACTCAAAACAAAACAAAACAAAACAAAAAAAAAACATCTTAAGCTGAGCCAGTCAGAAAAGCAGAACGGACATGTGAAGGAAATGTCAGGGGATGAGACACTGAGACTGCAGGAAAGTAAGACTGAGAGACGAGAGGAGTCGCCCAGAGCAAGGCTGCAAAGGCAGGCCTCGGGGCTCTAACAGCGAAGGAAACGTAACTGTGGCATGCTTTTAACGCAATTGCTCTGGCTACTGTGGGGACTGGATGGAGCGTGGAGCCATCACTCATCACTCTGCTGGAACAAAACAGACAGAGTGGGGGCCTGGACAGGAGGCTGCAAGGAAGAGAACAAAGACAGTCAATCCTGAGACACTCAGAAGATAAAGCCATGGAGGCTGGGACTCGGGGGCGAGGGCATGCAGGTGTCAGTGATGACTTCCAGGTTTCTGGGTTGAGCACCCAGGCCAGGTCCTGTGACGGGGAACGCAGGGGGTGAGGTCTGCAGGAGCGTGGCACAGAGAATACACAGCCCAGCACTGGACAACAGAGCACAGGGTACCCAGGACACATCCTAGAAGGGGGAGGGTCGCCGGCAAGATAACTGAATATAAATCTTGGGTTGAATTACCAAAATGTGGTTGTGTGTGGAACAGAGACAGTCGCTGAAGTCAGGAGAGCAGCGATAGTGGGAAGAGGGTCCAGACAGAAGCTGACACAACACTTCTGTGTGCAGGGGAAAAGAGCCAGAAGGCAGGAGGAAGAGAGCAGGAGAGGTGGGCACTGCAGCAACCCGGTGAGGAGGGGCAAGGCGTGGTGACGGTCCTGGGGGCCACGAGAGACAAAGGCTGGGTGCCACCGGCAGAGAACCGCGCCATCACCAGAGACTCAGCAAGAGTGGCTTTGGTGAAGGGGCCGGGGGAGTGGAATGAGACCATGCTGTTTTCTGGTCCAACAGAACACTCCTGGCCTTGCCTCTGGTCTGGGACCTTAGACCGTGACCACCCATCGGGCAGAGTAGGAAAAGGGGGTCAGAGCTTCTCTTTGGCTCTTTGCAAATTCAGCAGCTCCTCTTCTGTCCCCTCTGAGACCAACGCCTCCCACCTCCCATGAGTCCTCTCCACCTGAGAGAGAGCTGACCAAAGCCTCCTCATTTTGGAGGCCAGTTCTGTCCATTTCTCTGTCCCACATCAGCATCCCTAAAATGCACACCACTCCCAAGGCCAGGAAAGCCATCTTGTTTCTCTCACATGTCCTTCCTTCTGGAGGAGAAACAATACCCAGAAAGAAAGTAGACAAATCTGAAATCCAAAACACCATACAGATCGGCATCAGGCAGAAGGCGTGGAAAGTGGGTTTCTGAGTGGTGGAGGTTGTGACAGGGAGCACCACAGAGGCAGGCGCAGCCACCCCAGGGTCGTCGGAGGCAAGCTGCACTCTGCTTCCTAAGAATAGCCACACGAGGAGTACCCACCACAGCCTTTGTCCCAGAAAATATGTTTTCCACAGAAAGTCTTCCAGACCCCAGTATGAGCAGAAGAGCATCCCGGGCACAGGCTTGTTCTCTTCTTCCCGCCCTCATCAAGCCTTTCACCAGAGACAACACAGGCAGTGCCCAGGGAGAAGTGCCGACCTGAATACACGACTTCTGTCTGCCAATAATTGAAAGCAGCAATCCAGGCCTCGAAGTTATGGGCCTGCCACGAGACCACTTTCTGCAGTCTGGGATCCGTCTCGCTCACCACCAGGAGGTGAAGTTGCCCCTTGGAGTCACTGCTGATGATCTTCAAGGGTTGCTCGCTGGCCCTAGACACAGGGAACCAACAGAGGAGCCATGCTGAGCTTGACTCGTCACCCTCTTCTGTTCCCAAAGGTGTCCGGGGAATGAACATGCCTCTCAAGAGACTCACTTGGGTGTTTGGCAAAGATCAACAGCACCGCCAAGCTTGTCAAAGAAACCAGTATCGGCTTCGCTTGGTAAAGTACTATTGCTGCTTATCTAAAATGCTGGACACTTTCCTTTTTAAATTAGGACTGGCAGTGATACTCCCAGGTTTGGGAGCAGGCGTGGCTAATAGAAGGTGCTTTAATCCTCCCCAGCAGGAGACAGGAATTGGTCCGCAGAGTAAGGACAAAGCCCTAGCCAAGCCTAGCCTGTACCTTCCAGTTTTTCCCGTGGACCAGTCTAGGGACAAGGCCAGACACTGCTCCTCCAGGGCCAGCCTGGACAATGGCTGCAGCATGCACCTGCTCTTCTCCTGGGGAAAAAGGAATGGTGTCAAGGGGAAGCAGCCCCCGACCCCCAGAAAGACCCTTCTCCTCTCCTTTGGGTCAGCTGCCGTTCCCTCCCTCCCTCCGTACATGGCATGCTCTCCCCTGGCACTGCACCCCTGCCGGAGCCAGGCACAACAGGGCTCACACACGGGACCCGCGTGCGTGACGCCGGGGCACGAGGGCCTCCCTGCCTCACACCCACTTGCTCGTGGCACAGCCTTAGCACTATCAAGACGCTGTGCGAGCTGCACGCTGCAGTGGCACACGCTTGTCGCCATCTCCCCCTCCAGGGGGGCTGGCATACTTGTCTCCGGAGACAGACACGGCACGGTGGGGACGTTCCTCTGGTTTCCATTTCAGGAGCCACAACTAGCTGCTGAGACAGTTTCTCCTTCTCCTTCTCCTTCTCCTTGTAAACTTTACTTCCTAAACAAGCCGGTCAGTACTGGACTTCTGCTTCAAGACCCCTTCCGGGTACACCTGCTCCTCCTTGGGCCACTTCCCTCAACACGCCTGCCCTCACTTCGGAGACAGGCGACAGACAGCTCCGAGCCTCCTGAAGCAAGGCACCTTCCCCTCAGGTCCTCAGCGGCCAGAAGCCCAAGGTGAGCTGGACTGATGCCCCCGTCCACCGGCAGCACCTACACCAGTGTGCCCCATCCTCCCACAGAGGTAAGGCACAGTCTTGGAGGCAGTCTGTGCCACTCCACTACATGACATCCCTATAAGACATTCCCTGATTCCGCCTCACACACAGATTGGGCCATTGTGCCAATGACTGGTATATGATCCCTGTAAGAGACCTGGAAAAACTCAACGGCAGACACACGTTTTCCCGACAGTCAGTGAAAAACACCACTTTCACACAGGAAACTCAGTGCTGCGCTTAGCACCAGCAGCAAGCCAGACACGCCTGCCCAGGCTTTCCTGAGAGAAAGTTCAGATCCACCGACAGGTGGAACAGCCCACCGCTTCAGCCCTTCTCCTGATGACCAACCTCCTTTTGGAGTTAGATGTAGAACTACGCACAATTTAAAACAGACACCATGCTATCTTAGAACGTTGACGTACAGCTCACCACTGGAGAGAAATTGTCCTAGAAAAATGTCTGTACAGCACAGCCTCCTCCCTCACCCTCTCCATTCCGGTCCACCCCACAGAGACAAGCCCCTTCACCGACCTCACACCCCACCAGGTGGAGCAGCTCTATGGATCCGCTAGCATCTGCTAAGCCCAAGAGGGCATGGCCCGCCACCAGGATGTGGCACCTGAGGAGAGAAGCCACACATCAGAACACAGGATGTGCCCAAAGCACAGGAGAACATTATGCACCCTGGGAACTGAGTACAGTCATGCACCGTTTAACAATGGGGACGTGTTCTGAGAAATGCATTGTCCAGTGATTTTGGAAACACCAGAGTGCGGCATACAACGCTAGATGGCACAGCCCACCACACACCTAGGCTATGTGGGAGCCAATGCCTCCCAGGCCACAAACCTATACGGCAGGTTACTGTGCTAAATACTGTAGGTAACGGCAACACAATGGCATTTGTGTGTCTAAACACAGGAAAGGTACAGTTAAGGCTATAATATGAAAGATTAAAAAACAGGGCCAGGCACAGTGGCTCACACCTGTAATCCCAAAGCTATGAGAGGACTGCTTGAGACCAAGAGTGTGAGGCCAGCCTGGGCAACACAGCAACACACCTTTTCTACCCCCCCCCAAAAAAAATTAGCTGGCATGGCAGCACACACCTATAGTCCCAGTTACTTGGGAGGCTGCTGAGGCAGGAGGACTACTTGAGGCCGGAAGTTTGATACCAGACTGGTGAACTTAGCAATACCCCATCTCCACAAAAAATAAGAATAACAACGGTAACAGCGAAGCATGGAGGTGCATGCCTGTGGTCCCAGCTACTCAGGAGGATTGCTTCAGCCCAGAACTCCAAAGCTGCAGTGAGCTATGATCACGCCACTGCATTCCAGCCAGAAGACAGGGTGAGGGGAAAAAAAAAAAGGCCGGGCACGGTGGTTCATGCCTATACTCCCAGAACTTTGAGAGACCGAGGTGAGAGGACTGTCTGAGACCACGGGTTTGAGACCAGCCCGGGCAACTTGGCGAGATCTCGTCTCTACAATAAAAAATAAATAAATAAAAATTAGCCAGGCGTGGTGGCGTGTGCCTGTAGTTCCAGCTACTTGGAAGACTGAGGCAGAAGGATCGCCTGGGCTCAGCAGGTCGGGGCTGCGCTGGCCGTGAGCGTGCCCCTGCTCTCCAGCCTGGGCGACAGAGTGAGACTCTGACTCAGAGGAAAGAAAGAAGCCCAAAGTTCAGGCGCTTCCCTGCCTTGTTGAAGGCTATTAGGCATCAGGCGCCTCTGTCTGGTGACACACTCCTGACAAATTCCAGACCAGGCGAGGTTAGAAAGTCGCACCATTTCATGTCCAGGACGGCGGAGGTGTCAATTCTTTGGACCTCTGCCAGCGGGTGGGCAGGGTTGTCCTCACTGACGCTGTACAGGCAGAGTCGACCCAAACGGACCTGAGGCTCGTCACTGTCCAGTTGGTTCTGCAAAAGCGCACACACATCCACGATCGCTCTAAGACTCCGAGGAGCCCAAGGGATGGGAAAGGGAGCAGGGAACCAAGGGGTCAGCCAGGGCTGCCAGAGCAGGACTCGCGCGGACCCTTCCGCGCAGGACATAGGCTTCTGCTTCCAGGCAGAGGAAGCAGAAGCCTATGTCCTGCGCGGAAGGGCCCGCGTTCCGGCCGG